GCTAACATGAGTTAATGGAATGGTATTATACAATATCAATTGTATAGTGGCATAGTCATGCGTAACACTTGACAAGTAAAGGAAGACACAGTACCTGTACCTGAGGAGCTCAAGGTGATCTTATTTTCTACACTAGAAAATTAAACTGACCCAGTTATGTCACTCAGAGGTGTGAAAAATCCACACCCCTGAGCAACATAGTTAAGCTAACCTAAATCCGCATATAGATAGTGCTAGGAATTCTTCTGTCGACCTAGCTACCACCTCTTGGGGAGGTGGATTTACTACATTGATGGGAAGGCTTTTCCTGCTGTGCCCCTGCAGCCTTTTAAATGTAGACTTCGTCTCAGTAAATTAAAGCATAAGCCAACATTGACAAACTGTGGCAGGGAATGTGAAATATAAAGAAAGATGAAGACAGTGAAGGGTTCAGTTAAATGGGTTTCTTGTCTCTCCCACCCTCCGGTCCCCATTCGTATCAGAAGAGGCTGCAACCATCAAGGTGAAATGCTTAGGGCACGGACAGAGGTTTAGCAGTAAGGATGGAGAGTCATTATTTATAGTGTGAGAGGAAGGGCCACTGTCTTTTCACAGTCTGTGCAGAAGGGTGTAATAGAAAAGGGGAGGATGTAGAATGATGTTGTAATCAAGTTCTGCACAGCTGAAGAAGCAGGGAGTTAAATGACTGGTTTAGTCTGTTCTAATATCACTAGAGGGGAAACTTTTTACTCACTTTACCCAATCCAGCATTATGAAAGCTTAGAAGGTAAGGAGCACTTCAAATTTATTAATTGACATTTGAGCCATTCTTTGAGGTGGTGTGACTTGCCACACCTGGCAGCATAGAAGCCTTTTTATCTCTCCATGACTTACATGGAGCTCTACAGACCTTACAATTATCTTAAAACTAATCACAAAACTATAGATTAGTGAGTTTTAATGTCTGAAAACCGAAAAGTGTGGTGATTGTCTGTCTGTTTTTAGCGACACTCCTCTTATCTGCTTTCCAAATCTTACTTAGAACTATTGTAGACTTTTACTGAAGGCTAGTCATATTGGCATAGATCATGGATGTTCCCTGACTGCCCCCCGTTCCTCCATTCTTCCATAACTTTTTAAATTTGACATTTCCCCCATGAATTTCACTATTGGTTCTTCATGATCAGGTTAGACTCAAGTACAGACTTCTCTTCCTGAATGACAGGTTAAGCAGCTGGAAGGGTGACTGTTAGGGGGCTTATTCCTTCACCCACTTACTTCCCTGGTCCTTCTCGCATGAACAGAGAGCAACAATACCCAAAGTCCAAAGGTGCAAACAATTCGATGTTTATTGGGGTGAACTTCCAGCAAGCATGATTGCAGTTTCCTTCCTTAGTGTCCCCCTTCCCAGCTCTGACACCACAGAGCCTTACATCTGTGTCCTTGTTCCCATTCCTGCCCTTAGCCAAACGTGATTCCAATTTCCCCACCCCCATTCCCTGTTCCCATTTCCCCTCCCCATACCCACCCACTCACTTCCTGATTGACCGCAGACTATATAGTAAAACTTGAGTTCTGCTTAGCTATACCTTAACCAATCATTTTCCTGAAATTTAACTAACCAATCCTAACATACTGTAACATGACTATGTAACCAATTATATCCCACCACCTTAATTAGTTTACACCCAGCAAAATTAATTATACAGCAGACAGAAACAATCACAGAATCAGACAGATTATACAGACAAACAATAGCAAAGTGAAAAGGAATACTTGTGGCACCTTAGAGACTAACCAATTTATTTGAGCATAAGCTTTCGTGAGCTACAGCTCACTTCATCGGATGCATACTGTGGGAAGTATGCATCCGATGAAGTGAGCTGTAGCTCACGAAAGCTTATGCTCAGATAAATTGGTTAGTCTCTAAGGTGCCACAAGTACTCCTTTTCTTTTTGCGAATACAGACTAACACGGCTGTTACTCTGAAATAGCAAAGTGGGAACTATAATGACAAAACAATACAGAAGTGAGATTTCACATCCCAGCTATTGATAAGTGAGTTCTTGCCAGACAGGATGCTATCAAACTAAGTTTCCTTTTCCATCTTCTAGGCACTTCCCTTTCTCTGGAGGTGATAGGCACTATCAGGACAGGATTGTATTCCTAAGAGCCCAGTAGCACCTTATTTCAATGTGACTAGTTTGGAATGTGTGGATGTGACCGGTCCTTCCCAGCTTATGGCTGCCTCTGCTGCTTAGCCAAAGGCCTTAGCCTAAGAACAGGGCCTCAGACTGTCACAGTAAGAGAAGGACCTTACACCGGCAGACAGTGATTTTGATTCTTTAATATCTCTATAACTAGCCAAGTGATAAGAATACACCTAAATTCTTAAAATACAGACAGGCCTGAATATCTATATCCTAACAGTTTCTGACTATTCTTAGTTCTGTAACTGAGGCACCCTTAGCTATTAAAGAGGATCAGTTGATGCGCTGTAAAACACTTAGTGATTTCGTTCTGATTTGTAACCTTGTCAGACTCTTTGGAAATCCTAATTTAGAAGAATGGAAGAAGTAAAATACATATAGGTGCTGGGGAGAAAAGACTTTCTAAGAGCAGAAGGTAAAGATTGCCATAAAACTCCATGTTTTATAGAGTATACCCGTGGTCTATATTTTGTGGGGGAAGGAGGAAGTAGGGGAACTTCATTCTGACACCTCAAGTATTTGGACATGGTCTGGGAAACATCTTCAATGTGTAGTTCCTAAATTTGGTAGCAGAACAAATGAACAGTGCATCCAAGTTCAAAAGGACTTGCATCACGTAGGTAATTGGGCCAGCAGAGAGCAAATGTAGTTTAATGTTAAAGCGGGGAAACAGTTTGGGACTAAGATTTATGTAGAATACTAGTTTGTACTACTCTTGAGCATCACACACACCAACAAGCTTCTAGAATCGAAGTTTAGTTCTACCCCCTTTTCAGAAAATAGAATTCAGTTGTGACAGATGTACCAAAATTCTTTGCTGGGGCCTGCAATGCTTAAAAAAAGGTGCTGATTCACCTAAGTGCTTCACCTAAGACTTCTAGTTTTTCTGTGGCATGCTCCTTTCTCTCCTCTTCTGTCTCTTCAAAACTGAAGATTGGTTTCTGTGTAAGGTGGTGCAGAAGCAGGAATCGCAAGGCCACCAGTATTCTTCAGTTTGTTCTGATCAGGAGTGACACCAGCTAAGTTTCAAATAGCCTTGTTTGATTACTAATACTAATGTTACTTACTAAATAGCATTTTCTAGATAGTTTCATTTTGTAGGCTTTACTGCTAGAAATGCAGACCGCAGCAATAGCAAGTGACTTCATTTTTAGAAAAGAAAGTTTCAAAAGAAACTGAATTAAATATTTTTCAGAAACTGCTGCAGTAAGGTGCTGCACACTCCCAAATAACAAGAATAGAGGGGGATACTGTACTAAGTTTTCTGAATATTGACTTGGTGGGAGGAGGTGACATCATAAGAAGCTGTTGAGGCAATGTGTTCCTGCGCTTAGGAACAGCAGTTGAGATCACAGTATATGGTGGAGGAGGAAGCATTGTTTTGCTTTGGGCTGATCTTCTTAGACCAGAGAGTATGTTAAAACACATCTGTTGAAGTCCTTGCCTCTTTTGGGGGTGTTCTCATCACTTACCACTAAAGTTCCGTGTTTTTTCACTTTTCCAGGTTGTTGGTAAACAAAGTAAATCTCTATGTAAACTTATGTAGGAAAGGGAAATGATGGTGTGCAGCCCACCCAAAGAAAATGCAGGGATAATTGAATGTTTCATGCATTTTAAAACCCAACATACAGCTTTGAATATGCTGGACTTCAAAGCAGAAACCTAGGGATTGAACAAATGACTGTGAGTTTACTTCCTGTTTTAAAAACCATCTTAAATTATTGCTTACCTGCAGATGATTTGATGAATGGATGAGGTAGAAGTTCAAATTTCTGATCAGCATGATGGTGTTTAAGCAGCTTGTTGCTAGGAGCTTTGGGGCTAGCATTTTATAAAGGTCTCTTTGTTCTTAGGTCTGCAGGGATCCCCAGGTTATAGTGGCTTTAGGTAAAACTATGTATTCTGATCAGACAAAATAGGGAATTTTTAATAATTAAGACACAATTTAAGGTACTGTAGCATTGTACTAACTGCATTCTTGTAAGTGAACAGTATAATTCTGTTTTGAGGTGAAGTTTGTCTTAAATGTAAATACTGACTTCTGTAGCATTTAGGAAAATTGTATCTGTTTTGGATTTTCCCATTGGCTATTGAGTTACAAAGTTGCAAAGCAAAAATATAAGTTTAACAACTGTGAGAAGGCATCTGAATATGGCTGTTTAGAGAGCTGTTTTAGATGCCAAATTTGGCAGTGAGAGTGGACACGATAAATGCAATGAATACCAGACATTTTCTCCCCCAGCAGTCTTAAAGACTTGGTTTTTATTTATCCACGAAACCAGCTAACACCATAGAGTTTTTAATGTCTTCTGGAAACTGTTAATAGCTTCAGGCTATTGCGAGGTCTGTAATTATGTATTGTGCTTCAAATACTAAACCTTTAGATATAAGAGAAGTTTGAGGTAAGCTACTGAATTCTGATCGATGTAAAAGTTGCATTTCGTTCTTCTGAATAACTTGTATTGCTATAGTGCTCAAAGGCTCTAAGAATGGGGATTCATTTTGCTAGATACTGTACTGACATGCAGAAAGACACAGTCCTTGCCCAAGAGTTCACAATCTTAATTTGAAACAAGACTCAAGTGAATAATAAACAATAGGGAGTAAAAAGGGAGGAGAATCAGTGTAATAAAATTATGCAGAGGTTAACTTTTGTGTAACTGAATGACATAGATTTGAGATTTTTTACTCATAAATTAGTATCTGCGACCTCTGACTGTTCTGCAACCTAGCCTACTTTAATCTGCAAAACTATTTATTGTGATCTGGAATTATAGGTTTTGGTCTTTATACATCTTGTATGTTCTATAGATTGAGATAAAAATGAAGAAGCCAGAGGCTATAAGATGGGAGAAGCTGGAGGGGCAAGGAGATTCTCCTAAGCTAAAACAATACACATCAGGTAGGTTTGTTTTTTTGACCTCATTTAGCATTTAATGTAAATATACATATTATCCTATTAACATTCTTTCCAATTACATAGAACATCTTATACATATGATATATTGTAGTAATAGGTTTCAGTGTAGCAGCCGTGTTAGTCTGTATTCGCAAAAAGAAAAGGAGTACTAGTGGCACCTTAGAGACTAACAAATTTATTTGAGCATAATGCGTCCGATATAGTGAACTGTGGCTCACGAAAGCTTATGCTCAAATAAATTTGTTAGTCTCTAAGGTGCCACTAGTACTCCTTTTCTTTTTGTAGTAATAGGTTTACCTATAGTAAATGTAAACATGTAATTCTGATACTCTAATTTCATGAACTTCATGGGTAGTGGGAATGGATTCTGATTGGTAGTAAAGCCCTAAGAATTCAGCTGTTCACTCTGCTCGTGGCTTTCATCCACCTGAGGGGATTATTCAGGATGCGTGCTTGTCATCTGGGTTTCTCTGGGAGCTTATCGTTTTACTGGGCTGCCTAGTTAAACTGTATTCTCCTTTGTTGCATTGAGAGGAGCTTGCATCTTTTGGAGAAAATTTTAGTTTAATAGCGCTCACATACATCAAAAGATTTTCGTGATACTTGGCTTAATTTTCCTTTAATTTCAGCTCATTACTTATACCCCTTGTACCATCTAAAATGACTCTCCCCTTTCATTTTCACATTTGTCATTTCTACATGTCTGGTATGCTCTGCGCTCCTCCACTCCCATCATTGCTTAGCCAAGCTACATATTGCGCTCATTAATATTTCCTTATAAATAAGTCTCTATAGCTGCCTAATCCCTGGTGTCATGTTCATCTTCTTCCTTCTGATTTACCTCCATATTTTTGTTGTTGAGGCATCCAAACCTGAAAGAATTATTCTGTTTGCAGTCTCAGATTTGTAGAGTATTGGATGTCACTTCCCTGTGATGGTTCTGCATATGTAGCCCAAAATTGCATTAGCTTTTTTTGCTGCCACACTCAGTGCAAGCTCAGCTTCTCTGTTTATATCATATAGGGCTTTTCAGCATTACTGCGTTCCTGGTTTCTGCCTCCCACTGTATTTTGCTTCAGATAACTTTTCAAGATGATCCTCATTTCTCCCCTTGTTTTCAGCCTTGCTTAGGTTCCTTTTTTGCCTGCCCTCCCTGATGTTTGCAATGCCTCCTGATTTTTAGTATGAACTGCAAGATATTTTAATGTGACCATTACTTAGCCTTCCAGAGATCATTAAGACTGTGATCCAACCAGGGCTTTGGGGTAGAGCCTGCAGAGCAGCAGGTTTTTGCCTGGAGCTGGAGCGGAGCCAGAGCACAGCTCGAAAGCCCTGGATCCAACACCCATTGAATGGAAGAACTCCCAATGACTTCACTGGTCATTGGATCAGGTCCTAAGATCTTGAATAACACCAGCTCTGACAATTACCTTGTGACATATGGATACATTGCCAGTTCATGATTTTTCATGATGTTCAGCCCATTTTAATCCTTAAACTTGGCTCCTATTCAACCCAATCAGACTGAATTTTACAAGATAGGATATTGTGCTGTATCAGATGATCCACCAGAAAATCCACCTCCTACAATTCCCTTCATTTGTTAGCTTTAAAATTCTGTCCAAAAAAGCAATCAGGCTTGTCTGGCAAGATCTGTACTTACAGATCCATGGTACTTTTTGTTCAATTCTGGGTGGGGTTATTTATTTCATGCTCTAAATGTTGCCAAAAATGCCGATTTAACTTACTGCAGCTGTTCTTTCCAGACTCCAAACACCTATATCCGTCATCCTCTCATTATACAAGGAACTGGGATAAGTTGGTGGTTGAGATCAAAGAAGAAGAAAAGAATGAAAAATTAGAGGGGGACGCTGCTTTAAATAAACTCTTTCAGCAAATCTATTCAGATGGCACAGATGAAGTGAAACGTGCCATGAACAAGTCCTTCGTAAGACTTCAGTCTATCCTTACATTTTTGTGAATGCTATAAATACCTTGAGGCCAGATCTTGTGGGCCAAGTCATTTGCATATACAAATGCGGTAATCGAAGGCAAATAAATATTAAGACATTTCTCTGTTTGCACCTGCAATTGTGGTAAAATGCATAAATGCACAAGAACTTATATATGAGAGTCTCTAGCATTTGGAAACTCAGCCCCTACTGAGTATGAAAACAAATGATCCAGTGATGTTGCTATGATAGCATTTTTATGTACTGGCAATCGGAAGAGTTGCATTTCTCCGTATTGTTAATTCTGAGTGGTGAGCTTAGACTTGGAGCACAAAGATTGCACTCCATCCTTGCTCATTTTTTGTTTGAGTCTATACTAATGTCAGTGGGAGCAACTTGCCACTTCCTGGTTGGTCATAAGAGGAGAGAACCTAACTCCTCCTCATTTTTCTGTCAATTGCTAATTTTCAAATAGGAGTTTGAGTGCACAAGAATGCGTGATTGGACCATTAGAGGCTACTGTATATTGAAGCAGTGTCACTACTTATTTGCCTTAATCATGTCAAAAGTGGACATATGACAACAGAAATTATTGCTTTATTAAATTTTAATGTCAGAAGTCTTATGTGCAAAATATGCGAAGATTGATACAAAGATCATGTGCACATCCTATGTCTAGATCAAGTCATCTTCGTTTAATATAATCATAATTGCACATAGTATATAGGGAAGGGTTTGAGAAGGTCTGGAGAATTTCAGAGTTTGAGTCTGTAGGAAACAGTGCACTAGTCTTGCAGAACTTAATCTGCTATAAAAACTGTGGATTATTTTAAATGACTGGCTATAACTAACTTTGGCAGACTAAACAGATGTTTTTCCATATTGCAGATGGAGTCTGGAGGGACTGTTCTGAGCACCAACTGGTCTGATGTGGGGAAAAGAAAGGTAGACGTAAATCCTCCTGATGACATGGAATGGAAAAAATTCTAATCTGTTGATTTGGCATCTTTGTGTTGCCCATATTCACATACTGACCATTGTGTATGGACATAGCATTCTTGGATTTAAGACACTGAATGTTCCCTTGAAGATCGGAATTATCGTCTTTACATCTTGCGTGCTTTAGTAATTCCTTTGACTGCAGGTGTTAAGGTTTAATCAGGAATGGAAGCCTATTTTTCATCCCTCCTGTCCATGAGGAGTTTTCAGAAACAGATTGAACTAAGTCATAAATACACATTTTCTACTAGCTTTATCAGTTCTGTACTTTGGGGGATGAGGAGACCTTTAATGGGCTGTTTAGGATTATTGCCTTATTTTTAATTCACAGTATTGCTGTTGAATAATTTATTAGCTCTGGCAACTTTGGGTAAACACACTTTTCAACTACAGTGTTAATTGTTTGCTCTCTAACTCTGCTTAAGAATAAAACTGTAAAATATACATTTTTCCATAAAGAAGTTTGGTTCATTTTATTTTTTAAGTCTGAAAACTCAGCTATGGAAGAAAAAACATAGTCAAAATTTACATTTGGAGAAGTCATAGCTAAGTAGTACAGATATTGGGAATCAAACTTGCAAGTACATAGGAGCAAGACTCCTGCTCTGCTAAAAGAAGAATGAGCTCCCTGTTCTCCTTTTCTTGGAGGGAGAGGAATCACCAGAGAAGGAAATCTGAAGTAGAAGCAGCAGGATTGAGGAATTGCTAGGGCTCCCATCCTTCCTACCTGTGGGTGGATCTGCAGCACCGGATGGGTGGGAGGGTGGGGTGGGAAGAGGATTCCTAGATCTGGAAAAGCTCTATCTGCCTCTTCTATAGGCAGATGTGTCCTTTGCCAGTCCTCTGTTTCTACTCATGAGGAAAGGGAGTAGAAAAACAATAATGCACAGATTTGCTTACCATCTCTTTCTGATTGTATTGATCTTCTAAAATGCAGGACATTGCATTGTGTTTCAGTATTTTTAGAGACGAGCCCCAGCATCCTTCACTTTTGGTCTATACCAATACAGGTCTTCCATCCTGATAAAGTTTTAAAAGGCGATATTTATAGAAATGGGGGTCAGAATCCTCTGGGATGAGCCCCCATCCTATCTCTGCATGCACACTTTGGTTGGCTGGCTGTGCGCCTTCAAAGGGATATAAATGTGTTCTCTTATCCCTCTTTTCATGCCTTATTCCATCACTGCAACATTGAGACCTGTGCCAGCAGCTGCCAAAATTGGTGAGGTGTCCTTCTTTTGATCTGTTAACTATTTGTTGCAAGCACAGTTCACCAAAATAGTAGAAGTTTCATGTAGTCTGGGTGGGAAGGGGAAACTGATCAGAATGGTGGTGGGGAAAAACGAATTTTCCTAATGAAACATATCCGTAAAATAAAGCTTTTATAATGAGTGTAATAGAATCATAGACGTGTAGGGCTGGAAGGGACTTCAAGAGGTCATCTAGTGTAGCCCCCTGGGCTGAGGCATAACCAGGTAAACCTAGATCATCCCTAACATATTTGTCCAACCTGTTCTCAAAAACCTCCAGTGATGGGGATTCCACACTGTCCCTTGGAAGCCTATTCCAAAGTTTAAGTACCCTTATAGTTAGAAAGTGTTCTATAATACCTAACATAAATCTCCCTTGCTGCAGAGTAAGACCATTACTACATGTTCTACAGTTGACCATCCTTGTATTCGTAAACAGCCCTTAACACAGGGGTGGTAAATTATTATTTGTGAAGGTCCAAATTTCTTGGTCAAGATATAGTCAAGGTATAGACTCCAGAGAAACATTTTTCATACCACAATAACAAGAGTGATAATAGGTAAGTAAAAAGATTTCACTGTCCATTCAAAAATGTCTGGTAGTCTGGATTTGGCCCATGGTCCACCTATTGACTTACTCCTGTCTTAACCCCTGTTATCAGGTCTCCCCTCCAGTCGTCTTTTCTCAAGACTAAACATGCCCAGTTCGTTTCTTCCTAGGTGAGGTTTTTCTAAATCTTTTGTCATTTTTGTTACTCTTCTCTGGACTCTCCAATTTGTCCATCTTTCCTAAAGTGTTTAGACCCTTTACTCAACAGAATTAGACACAGTACTCCAGCTGAGGCCTTACCAGCGCTGAGTAGAGCAGGACAGTTACCTCCCATGTGTTACATATGACACTCCAGTAAATACACCCCAGAATGATGATAGCCTTTTTAGTAACTGCATAACATTGTTGAATTACAAACTGAATATGAATCACTATAACCCCCAATCCTTTTCATCATTACTACCACTTAGCCAGTTATTCTGCATTTTGTAGTTGTGCTTTTGATTTTTTTCCCTTCCTACGGTAGTAATTGCACTCCTTATTGAATTGCATCTTGTGGATTTCAGACTAAAACTCCAATTTGTCACGGTCATTTTGATTTCTAATTCTGACCTTCAAGGGGCTTGCAGACTCCTTCCAGCTTGGTGTCACGTGCAAATTTTGTAAGCACTCATAATCCAGTCATTAATGAAAATATTGAATAGTATTGGCCCTTGTGGGATGCCTCTAGATATGTTCTCCCAGTTTGACAGCAACCCATTGATAACTACTCTTTGAGTACAGTCATTCAAACAGTTGTGCATCCACCTACACCACGCTAATTTGCTTATTAATGTAATGCGGGACTGTCAAAAGCCTTACCTACCATATATCACATCTACTGCTTCCCTCCCATCCACTGAGCCAGCAAATATGCCAAAAATTAAACTATGATACACTATGTAAATGCATGCTTTCTCTGAAGGTTATGGAGAACAGAACTGCTGCTCACCTGCCATTCTAAATTAGCAAGATATCTTCAAGACACCTGCGTGAAAGGAGATGGGCATACAATAAAAAAAAAAGCCAAAGCAGTAAAATTGCACATGAATTTTCTTCTACTTTTGTCTTATGGAGGCATGTTTCATCAGTACTTTCCTCCATGTAAAATTTAGTTCCAAATGAAACTAAGCATCTGGAGGGAAACTTACAAAACCCATATACGATACACGTACATTGAATTTCCATTATTGGGGCTTGGTCAACAGCTTGCTCCAGGGAGTGTTTTATGCTACCACGCAGAAGATGTCAATTTGATCCTTTATTATTTGACCAGACAATAATGATGCCACTTACAAAATAAGGAAGAAACATGTCCTACTGCTCTTTAGCTCTTGCATGAAGCGCTATTGACAAGCTCTGAAGGTGGATAGGCTTTGATGGTGGACCGTTGAATGAGTGAAGAAAACAGAATATCACCATGTTCCAAAAAATCCCTCCATGTCAGTGTTGGAGTATTAAATCTCCCATTGTACATAAATTACTGCATTTAACTCAACTCCAGGATTGCTTACTGGGCAATTACAAATTGTCTTGGGTATTGTCTACAAAAGTTTGAAAACAGAATAACTATTTTAGTGTTCTGGCTATAGTCTAAAATTAAATTAAATTCCACTTTTATACAGTAAGAGGGACATAAATTGAAATGGTGTCTGCTTTACCAATCTAAAATGACAGATGTTAAATCATGACTACCACAGACAAATGGGTAAGAGACATTTCCAAAGGTCCACCATAGCATTCAAAAGGATCCATACTTCAAATTTTCCCTTTCTCCCTCAGCCCCTCCAAGAGGAAGACCATGTTCAGGCAAATCAATCATCAAGTCAGGGCCGTGTAACCTATCCCAAACCAGGAATGATGTCAGAGCTTATGCTCCCTGGTTTTTCTGATTCACAAGAAATTGGGAGGACAGGGTGTTGCTGGATTTCAAGACTCTCAATAAATCAATCCACTCCCACAAGTTAAAAATGGAGACTGCTCAGACCACCATGGTGGCTATCACCCAGGGGGATTTCCTAATCCCAGTGGACCTGAAGGAGGAACATCTCCACATTCCCACCATTCCAGTCCACCGACTATACCGGAGGTTTGTACTTGGCACATGCAGTATGAAGCCCTTTTGGCGGTGCCACTACCCCACGGCTATTCACAAAGATCTTGGCAGCAATAGTGACATTCCAGTGTTAGAAAGGGGTACAGCTGTACCCTTTTCTCAACAACATCCTAATAAGTCCCCTCCCTATGGAAGTCAGTCAGGAACAGGCAATGGACGGTCCCCTCCCCCAAGCCACAACCTAAGTTTATACTCAATCAGGAGAAAAGATAGCTCAGCTCTACACAGACAATAGGACACCTGGGGATTTGGCTTGAAACCACACTCCACGGGGCTTTCCTTTCCAGAGACAGACATGACTGGCATGAATTCTGCATCCATATGCTTCACAGTCCACGTTCCCATGTGAAGGACTGACTGTGTACTTAGACATGTTAGTTTCATGCATATACCTACTCGCATGGGTGAAGTTTCATCTCAGGTGTCTGCAGTACTACCTGCTGAGCTTCCCTGCTTGCAATCACAATTCAGTCTCTCGCTGTAAGACTTCCCTTCTTTGGATGGCGATGACCTCTGACAAGATTCATGAGCAGTATTCATTTGATATCACAGAGACATACCATGAAGGCAGATGCTAGCTTAGAGGGCTGGGAAGCTCACGCAACTTGGCACGTAGTACAATTTCTGTGGTTGCAGATGGAATCTCACTGCTGTATAAACTGTTAGGAACTGTGGGTGATATGCCTAGCCTAGCCCTTCAGGCACTCCTCCCTACCTTTAAACTCCAGATGGATACTTGGATTCACAGAGAACACTACTGTCGTGGAATACGTAGACAAACAAAGGGGCACCAGGTCAAGCTTGTTACAAGCAGAAGCCACAGCTGCCTTCAGGTGGGTTGAGAGAGATGTCCTGCCAGTCTGAGCCATGCATGTCAAAGAACAATGCTATGGTAGACTGGCTCAGCTGCAAAATCACAGACCCGGGGAACAGTGTCTCCATCAGAGGGAGTTCAATTGCATAGTCTAGTGTTTTGGGAAATCAGCATGCAATCTCTTTGCATCCAGCTCCAATGCCAAAACAAAAAACTTTTATGCCAAAAGGAGAAACCATGGGGTCAGGGGAATCAATGCCTTCTCACAGGTATGGCCCAAGGCTTTGCTATATGCATTTCTTCCTTTTCCTATGATAACACCTAGGGCTTTGGAGCGGAGCCCAGAGCTGGAGCGTGGAGCAGCTCCGGAGCAGTGGAGCTACAGGTTTTTGCCTGGAGTGGAGCCGGAGCACATCTCCAAAGCCCTGATAACACCATCCAACCTGTACTGAGACAACTGGCTACCGTGATTCTGATTGCACCACACTGGCCCAGACATCCCCGATTTTCAGACTTCGTGGAGTTGTCCACAGCGCCCCCACTACCACTATGATCTACTTTATCTCAGGGCTGTCTGTTTCATCACAACCTGGCATCCCTGAACTTGACTGCCTTGATTTTGAGATATAACCTAGGATACTCGAAGGCTGTGATCTCAACCCTACTGATGTCCAG